ATATATTTATATATATATATGAAAAATATATCAATATTGATGTGGGTACTCAAATGAAAGCTCTTGATGAGTGCAACATCGGAATGAGCTTATAACTTAAAAAATGTCAATAATTAAGAACTGACTTTGTTATCTTGTCAACTAATGATATTTTTGAAGATATTAGCTCATCTCGATGTTACACTCATCAAGACCTTTCATTTGAGTACCCACATCAATTTTTCATATATTTTGTATATTTATATATATTAGGGTGGCGCAAAAATACCGACTATTTTTTTTGAGTCTCGAGTTAAAAAATGTTAGTTTTTGATGTTTTAAGAGCTCTCTTCAAAGGACAGCTCAAAAAAAAATTTTTAAGAGGTCGCTCCAAATTTTTTTAAATTTCAAAAATCGTCAAAAATCAAAATTTCTTTTTTTTTAATTTTTTTTCTCGTTACACCATAATTTACTAGACCAAAAAAAAATGAGTTCCTGAAAGTTTCAGTTAAAAATTTCAATTTTAAAAAGTCGCTCATAATTTTTTTTCTAATTTATTAGTGCAGTACGTTAGATTTTTTTGAGCGACCGTTTAATATTCCAATAAAAATTCCATGCATTTCTTTTTTTTTTTCATTTAGTACAATAATCGATAAAAATACACCACGAGATATACTAAAAATCAAGCACAATATAGGAAACATAATTTTTTTTAATTTAATAATTTTACAAAGAAAATATATCATTATATTTAATTGTTTTTTCTCTGAGTCCTTAATATTCCGTAAAATTATCTGAACACCTCGTTTCTTCACCAAATTCCTACTATAGCCTCGAGAATTGATTTACAATTACTAAAAGATCTGGTTCAATTTAAAGAATAGAAATCAAAAGTTAGGTTCAGCAGCACTAAAAAGTTTGTCTCGACATTTATGGTACATTAGTGACTATTTAATTGGATTAACATTTTTTGACTCTGAAATTTAAAAAAAATTATGAGCGACCTTTCAAAATTTTAATTTTGAATTGAAATTTTCAGGAATTTATTTTTTTTTGGTCTATAAAATTATGACGTAACGAGAAAAAAAATTCAAAAAAAAATTCGATTTTTGACGATTTTTGAAATTTAAAAAAATTTGGAGCAACCTCTTGAAAATTTTTTTTTTGAGCTGTTCTTTGGAGAGGGCTCTTAAAACATCAAAAATTAACATTTCTTCCTCAAAATAAAAGAAAATAAAATAGTCGGTTTTTTTGCGCCACCCTAATATATAATGAAAATGAAGTTAACTGTCATTTCAAAATTTTTTATTGAAGAAATTTCAATTAAACAATGAAAAAAAAAAATTTCACATGTAAAAAACTTGAAAAATTACAAGTGCAATTTTTTAGAAATATTTTTTTAGTTGTAATTTAATTTAAAAAAAAATCAAAAATTTTTAGACTCCTGCTAACTTCAGTGTCATAAGTCATAATATATATGTATATATGAAAAATATATTAAAATGCATGTGGGTACTCAAACGAAAGCTCTTGATGAGTGTAACATCGGGATGAGTTTACATTTTTAAAAACGTCAATATTTAAGAATGTACAGTGCAATTTAACAAAAGTCATTATTTAATAAAGCTTTTTTTTATTTATTCATAGTTCACCAATCACATAGTGACCGCAAGATTCCTAGTTATCATTATTATTAATAATGTATTTATTTATTTATGTTTTTACTTAAGCCAAAAAATAAAAATAACATGTACAAAATAATAAAAAAATTTGAACACGTTTAGCCATCGTTAGTGTGAAAAGGTTTATTAGACTGGAACAATGGAAGTAAGGTCACTGAATTGATGAAACTATTACCGGTAGTCATCCTAATATCGCCTGTGTACATACGAGGTGTTTGGAACTATACCCCAAAGTACAAATCGTGTGCAAGTATGAATGAACATCAATGCCCAGCATATATATATATATGCGGGTTTCAAAATAATAAACCCACCTGAGCGAATACACCTCGACAATTGGATGTGTATTGAACTGGAACCTCATCTTCCTCTTCCTCGTACACAGTCTTCTCATTGTTATTATTATTACTGTCATTGTTTAGTTCATCATTGTTGTTCAACTGACTGCCTTTCTGATTCTCTTTCAGCGGTTCAAAATTTTGCGACAAAATATTTACTTTGTGGTAGCTCAGCAAAGGTTTTGTTTTGTCACTAGAAATAATGTGATAATTTTTTTTTTTATTTATATTTGCATACACATGCTAGTAAATTATCCATTACGGCTAATGGGTGAAAATTTAATTATTTATTCAGTTAATTATCTGTTTTTATGCGAGCGCTAAATTATAAATTTTTAAAGCATTAAAAATTTTATGAATGCTTAAATTTTTTTTGTGGCAATAATTTTTTTTTGTTTCGTAACCGCGGATATAATTTTTGCCGTGTTATTACCGCGAGTATGTAATTCAGAGGTTAGTACTGTCATTATTGAAGTTTACATCGTTATCGTAACGAGATTTTAGTACAAACTAATAATTTAAAAATTATGCTAACAAGTTAAAAAAAAAAATTAGAATTTTTCTATAATTTTTTTTTTTAATTAAAAAATTTTTTTGTTTTTTAATTAAAAAACATTTTTTTTTTTTCATTAAAAAAAAAATTTTGAATAAATTTTAAAAGAAAAATTCTTACCTGTTTGTTTCCATATTTTCAATAAAAAAAAAAATATTTAATTAAATAATTAACTTAAATTAGGTCACTGAGTATTACGCAAAAATTTTTTTCATCAGAAATATTTGTCTTGTCGTCATTAAAAATATAAATAAATTAAATAAATGATAACTTGCGACGAACAGCACTTAAACGCTCAATACTTGAGCACAAATTGACATAATCGGTAATAATAAATGACTTCCGTAGTGCCAAAGCAGAGCCAACTAATCAAAAGATTAAAGTTTAATTATGCAAATACATTAACCCAAGCAATCGTTCTCTTATCACTAATCCGCGGCAGTTCGCAGATGTGAGACTCAAAATAATACCGATTAAAGAAAACGAATACTTATTCTTGCAAAAGTCAACGACAAACTGAACAATATTATCCTAACGGATGCTTTTATAACGAGACTTATAAAGTGGTTAAGTAGAAAGTCCCAACTCCCGCTTGAAATAATGTATATAATAATAATAATAAAAAGTGTTCTCGGCGTGTGGCTCGTGCGAAATTACCTTCCTATCCACTCATCCTCCATCCTCTCTTTAAATGAGACTTCAAATGCCATCTGGGTACCATATCGCTCTACGATACTTGTTAACCGCTCTTGTAACGTCAAAAGAACACATACTGTCATTCCATTATTATGCTATTATATTTTATTAATAAACCCTGACCTTATCTTATCCGAATTATCGTTTTATTACATTAGATTTCTTGACCATTGTATTTTTATCTTTGTCGTATTTTTTTGGTGTACCGACAATAGTTAGTTATCATGTTATAAATTAATTCGTTCTTTTATTATTATTATTATTATTATTATTAATAAATAAGTATTTTGTTAAAGAAATAAATTTTTTTAACTATCAATTAATCAATTTAACCTTAAATTTTTATTTTGTATTAATAAGTAATTGAAAAATAAATTTTCGATAAAATAAATTCTCTACACAGAAAAAAAAATTTTCTTTAATCAAGTGTATAATTTTGAAGAATTTAATCTTCTTGATTTGAGTAGAAAAATTCTCGAACTAATAAATTTTTCTTGATTTAAGGAAATTTTACTTGATTAAAGAATTTTTCGTCTTGATTCAAGGCATCAATTATCCTCTTCAAAATTATTTTCTTGATTAAAGTCCCAACTCCCGCTTGAAATAATGTATATAATAATAATAATAAAAAGTGTTCTCGGCGTGTGGCTCGTGCGAAATTACCTTCCTATCCACTCATCCTCCATCCTCTCTTTAAATGAGACTTCAAATGCCATCTGGGTACCATATCGCTCTACGATACTTGTTAACCGCTCTTGTAACGTCAAAAGAACACATACTGTCATTCCATTATTATGCTATTATATTTTATTAATAAACCCTGACCTTATCTTATCCGAATTATCGTTTTATTACATTAGATTTCTTGACCATTGTATTTTTATCTTTGTCGTATTTTTTTGGTGTACCGACAATAGTTAGTTATCATGTTATAAATTAATTCGTTCTTTTATTATTATTATTATTATTATTATTAATAAATAAGTATTTTGTTAAAGAAATAAATTTTTTTAACTATCAATTAATCAATTTAACCTTAAATTTTTATTTTGTATTAATAAGTAATTGAAAAATAAATTTTCGATAAAATAAATTCTCTACACAGAAAAAAAAATTTTCTTTAATCAAGTGTATAATTTTGAAGAATTTAATCTTCTTGATTTGAGTAGAAAAATTCTCGAACTAATAAATTTTTCTTGATTTAAGGAAATTTTACTTGATTAAAGAATTTTTCGTCTTGATTCAAGGCATCAATTATCCTCTTCAAAATTATTTTCTTGATTCAAGAATTTTTCTCTCGAATCAAATTAATTTTTTTTTTCAGTGTAGATGATGGAAAAAATTTTCTTTTTATTAATAAAATAAAAATTGGTAATTATTTACAAGTGGGGTGGGTCCACCCTATTTTTGGTTATATCTAGGTGAAAAATTAACATTTAAAAATTTTTTTTCCTTCATTCTGATTTTTTTTACGGCGCATTTATGATAAAAAATATCATGAAAGAAAAAAAATAAAATTTCGATAGCTTTTTTGCCTTCAAAATTTGGAAAAAATTTTGGCTCTCATGTTTTTAGATAAAATTTTCTATTTTATCTTTTTTTGACATATTTTTTTTTGAGAAGTACATAAAAAATCGAACAATTGAAAAAAAAAAGTTGAGTATCACAATTTTCTAAAAAATTTATAAATTTTTTTGAAAATTTGTTAAAATTGTGATAACCAACTTTTTTTTAAATTGTTCATTTTTTTATGTATTTTTCAAAAAAAAAAATATATCAAAATTTCCAAAAAAAAATGAAAATTAAAATGATGGACCCCACTTGTAAATAATTATCTAAAAATTTTTTTATATTAAATAATATTTGTAGAAAAAATCAACAGGCTTCAATTACCGTCAATTTTTATAGTTAATTAACTAAAAAAAAATATTTTTTTTTTGTTTAATTAATAATGATTTTATAAAATTTTAATAATATAAATGTTTAAATTGCTGTACTCATAATTTGCAATGTGAGATTAAAGAAAGTAGCTTTAGGATAATTGCAAAACTTAAAAATAATAACTAAACTTTAGAAGACTTTTCAACGGTGCTTTAAAAGTCCAGAAGACTGATAAATTCTCTAGCTCTCAAGGTGTAGCGAGTAGAGAAACAAGGGAGATTCTTAATTGGTCATAAAAAATCACCAAGCAAATTCATAGAAGCCCTTGTTTCTGTTTTAAAAGAACCTTGACCTACTGACAAACAAATTGTCGGCAAGGACAAGGCTTCAACTTGACCGATTGTGGCCGCTGGTGGCGAGAGACCATCTCATTATCCCGGATATACTTGCTGACAATTGAGCGAGACTGGAATTAAGTTTATTGTGAAGGTGCTGCGATGCTTATGACATGACTGTCACTTGTGGCTATCTATTTCCAGTGATACTTTTTTTGGTTTCATTTTGCATACCGATTCAAGGTTGAATTAGTGAAAGATGTTTAAGAAATATGTGCCAATGTCACTGATAAGTTTATTGGATACTTTCCAATACTAACATTGATATAAATGAGGAATTAAGTCATTAAATTCAAATAAATCACATTATTTGTCGAGTTAACTATTATTCCTGTTATGCTAAAAATTATTTATTATAGTTATAAGTATCGTAAAAAAATAATTAGGAGACATTTTTTATAAGCAGTCGAATTATTCAATAATTTTTCCTTCTATTTTAATAACGAGCGCTTTGTGCAAAAAATTAAAAATACAATTTTTCAATAAAAAATATCAACACTTACAATTTAAAAGTTGATTTTTAGTTACATAAAATTTAAAATAAATTTTATTTAAAGCTGTAATACTTTTTACATCTTAAAAAAAAGTAATTTTTACAGTTTTCTAAAGTATAAAATAAGCGTTTCTCTACTGAAACTGTAATAAATACTCAGTACGAGTTTACACTGATAGAAGGATTTATTAACTATTAATAATTTAATTTATTTGAAGACAATTATTTAATTTATTAAATTTTAATAAATATTTTTTAACATTCAATAAATATTTATTTGGGAGGAAAGGACATTTATTAATAGTTAACAAATATTTCTTTAACAGTTAATAAATATTTTGTTGAGTGAATTTTTTTCGCTTCCAATGTCATATGATATGAAGATTGCTTATAAACAAAAATCATTTTTATAAATTATTTGAATTAATTATATTACATTATAATAACGTTTATTGTAAAATACAAAATTCTATCGCAGCTCATAATTATCTTTTATATTTTTAAATATTAAAAAGGTTAATTTATTTAGTGAATTGAATTATTATCATTTATTCCAGCTATAGGGTTGTAAAAAGTATCAAAAGAAAATTGCTATTTTTGCTTTTTATTTTAAATAAATATTTATTAACAGTTAATAAATTGAACTTAATAAATTACTTATTAACTGTTAATAAATATTTGTTAACTGTTAACAAATATTTATGAACATTTAATAAATAATTTATTGACTGTTAAGGAGGTCCTTTCGCCATCAATGTTAAATAAAAAATATTAGATTACGCATAAAATTAATTTTTATCTAATAGTTAAAGTCCTTATTTATCTACTAGTAAAAGTTTAATTTAGTCTTTACCGTGAAAATTTTTGAAAAAAAAATTTTTTTAAATGTTAGTATTTTTTCCGAGTCTTACGAGAAAGTCAGACCTTAACAATTTTCTCGAATTATGGTATTAACTACTGATTAGATGGGATAAAAAAAAATTCAAAATAAGGTTTTTGAAATATTCAGGTTTCATTTTTTGCAATAATATATATAGGTTGCCGTGGAATATATGGAGAAATTAAAATTATAAAATCACAAAAAGTTCTCAAGCAACCTACATATTAAAATGAAGTCAAAACATTTGGCAACGTTGCGTATTAGCGTGCAAGCTTTAGACCATTCAATAAATTCAAACTAATTTATTTATTTACACTGACTGCTAAAACTTAAACGTGGTTAAGATTATATTGTGCAAATAAAAATGTAAACAACCGAAGTACAGCGTTGCCAAATCACGGACAGGTTACTAGCAGCTGATTTGAAAGAGTCAAATTAATTTTTGTATTTAACTATTTTTTTTTTTATTTTTAAAATTTCAACGATCAATGCCTCATATACTATTTATTTTTTAATTTTAGGAATTTTTATAGGTTTTTTATTTTAATTTATCGTATATTGACTACTACAGTTGTTTTGACTCAACTGGAGCGAGAGGACTTCCTTAATAAATATTTATTAAATCCTATGATGTTAAAAAATCATTTATGAACAGTTAATAAAGTTTATTAAACATAAACAAATCCTTCTATCAGTGTACTTATTTAACTGCTCCATTTTCGATGTTATAAATTTTTCAATAACTTTTATAAAGATACATATTACATATATTTAATTAAGATTTGAAAT